GATAATTTAGCTGGTTGGTCATAAAACTAGTAGAAAACATCATATGTCAAAACACTAACCCAAAACTCTCATATTTGCAACGTTTTCATTTCAGCGTTTCTGTCTAAAAATGTTGGTGCTGGACAACTATTTACCAAACTGTTTTTTCACTTATTGAAAACGCTAAATTAGTGAAAACTAGAAGATGAAGAATTTTAGAGCATGTTTGGAGACCCTATTTTCATCTCATCAATTTTATCAATTATCTTTTTCATTAAACATGTAAATTTTGATTTTGCACGTTGAATTGGGTAATAATCAAAATAACTCAGATTGAAGTTACTTTTCAGATTGAATTGGTTGAAGTTACTTTTCTGGCTGAATTGGGTTACCATAAAGGATTATTTTGGGTATTTTCCGAACAATTTTTTCTTTATTTTATTAATAAGATACATTTTCAATTTTTTTCCCAAAAATAAACCAATCGAGTCACTTTAGTCACAATTTCATAAATTTCAGCGGAAACAACCGATTCATCCATTTCAGTGTTACCAAATCTTGATTTATCATATCTCAGTCGTTTTTCATTTACACGTACGTGTTTTGATGGCAAAAAAAAATGAAGGCCAATTTTAAACACCTAAGTTCAGGGCTGATATTAGAATCATTGAACTGAGGTGAAAATTGATTATACTAAATTCAAACATTAGCGAACATTAGTGAGGTGGCTAAATATGTAAGATGTAAAAAATTATAGGGAAAAGGTACATATATACTCCTGTAGTATATGTCGAAGAACAAATATACCCCTGTTCCTATTTTTCTGAACAAATATATCCCTGCACTTTATCCCTCATTTTTTATAAAGGAGCAAATTAATCCTTATTGACTTTAAATTAATCAAATAAATTTCAAAAAAGACCAAACATAAATTAATAAATCAAAATTAAAACATAAAAATTTTAAAAATGTAATTGTGTCCATTTCTCCCTTTATTTTTTATATCACAATTTAATATTTTAAGTATAAAATATTATTTCAAAATATGTAATTTTATAGTGCAAAGAATGCAAAAAATTAATTTTTCTCTACATTGCAAAAAAATATGTTGCACCTTTTCCAAAGAATCTTAAACATATAGTAAAATTTTGAAATAATATTTCATGCTTAAACAATATTAAATTGTGATATAAAAACTATAAAAGGGAGAATTAGACACTATTACATTTTTAAAATTTTTTGTTTTTAAATTTTGAATTCATAATTTATATTTTGTGTTTTTTGAAATTTATTTTATTAATTTAAAGTCAATAAAGATTAATTTGCCCCTTTATAAGAACATGCGGGATATTTTTGCACCTTTTTAAAAGTTCAGGGGTATATTTGTTCCGAAAAATAGAACAGGGGTATATCTGTTCCCACACCCATACTATAGGGGTATATTTGTACCTTTTCCCAAAATTATACTCCCTCCGTCCCGTTGGAATGTTCCCGCTTTCCTTTTTTAGATGTCCCAAAAAGAAGTTCTCATTTCCCTAAATGGAAAGTTATCCTATATCAAAACAGTGTCAAACAGTGCAAAACAGTGCCAAACAGTGTCCAAACAGTGTACAAACAGTGTCAACACAGTAAAATTTACCCCCTGGTAAGTTTATTTCCTTAATATGTGTGTAGGTCAAACCGGGAACATTCCAACGGGACGGAGGGAGTACTAAATTAATGAATTTATTTCGGTCAAATATAGCTCTAACGTGAATTCTCCCCCACCTAAACTAGTAATCACCTAATAATAATTACCATAAAGGAAGATATATGTATGTGCATATGGAGCCCATTTGGTAACACTAAAATTGGCTGAAGTGACTGATTCTGCTGATATTTATGAAGTTTTGGCTGAAGTGACTGTATTAGTTGATTTTGCCGATTCATGAAAAAATTATATTTAAAATATTTGTTACTCCGTATTGATAAATAGCATTCTGCATTTATTCCGTTGGAGCAAATCATGGATATACCTCTATTGAGACCGAATGGTGCCTAGAGGGTGAGGCACAACTTCAATGCCTAGAAAGAAAGAAAGAGGCATGAGATCCTTAAATGAAAACCGCCAACCAAGAAGCTCAATAAGTGACTAAACATGAGAGGAAGAGCTTCATGTTATAACCAGTGTTCTAAAAGGCGTAAGGCGTGACAAGGTCGCATGACGAACCCTTAAGCCTTTGAAGCCTAGGCGAGTTTACGCGGGATTAAGGCGTGAAAAGGTGTTTTGCTTTTTAACTGATTATTTTACTTTTAATAGAAGCTTTAATAATTATACACATGTACAATTGGAAAAAATCATGTAAAAGCATCGTAGTTTTACATATTATATAATAACAAAAGGTTTCTTGCAATGCAAGTTCCCGCCAAAACCTTTTCACGGACAGCTGCAATTTACTAAAAGCTTGATACATTAACTCGGCTAATTGAATGTCATGTGGTGCCTTGGAGAAAAAAAACATTGAATGGAAATCTTAGGAAAGAGTGAGCCCTTTCAGCTTCTCAATGCACCATTTCAGATTTTTGTGCAATCTTAATTTATTATGCCGTACATCTTTGGAAAGGGAAAAGCCAAAATTAATTGTAAGCAACATAATTTACTTAGGTTAGCATGCATGTCCTTTTCTTTAAGGGTTTAAGGCATAAATTTGGTTAATATTTTAAGATATAGTACGTACTACAGAAGGAATACAACAAGGAAAATATTAAAAGCTTCACAAGCTAACTAGGGAAAAAGTAAAGATTTGAAATTTATTTAATTAAAGAACACGGATTTTGAGTATAAAACCCATTTTTATAGACTCTTTTAGCTCATGACAAGAGGTTAAAACCCATTTAATCATAAATATTCTTTTAATGCCCGCACCGATTAATATTAGGAATGATATAATGATAAAATATTTTAATATTTTAACGTTTTAGACAAAACCGAGAATTTACTATTGACATGGAAAGTGTAGTTTCAAAATGTTCACTTAAGAACCCATCAAATATATAATCTCCTGTGCATGGTACGTGGATATAGATTAAAATATTAAATATTAACCCGATCGTTAAAGGAGAAAAGTTTTTTTGTTTTGTTTTGAAAAAGTAAAGCAATTGAATATTTGAATATGATAGAACTCGGGCGAAAGAATATAGAAAAGTTTTTTTTTAAAGGAGAAAATGGTAGAACTAAGAGGTAGAGTGCATGCCGAGAGTAAGATAAGGGTGAGAGGTGCGGTGGAAATTTTGGGACGAAATGAGATTCACACATGTAGTTTTTTTTTTTTTGAAAGATTCACAGCACACATGTAGTTTATTAGTACACTAATAAATAAAGCTTAGTCAAAGTAAACTATATAAATAATGTAAAATTCAACATGTTACACTTATTTAAGAATAGAAGAAATATTTTAAAAGTTTGATAAAAGATGTAATTGATTAATGATGAATATGATTCAGACTTTCTTATAGTATAGTTTTATTTATTACTGCTAATAGAAGCAAAAAGTAATATTGATATTCCAAAAGCATATTACTATTTTTTTTCTTTAAATAGGACTAATTACTGTACAATCAATTATGACATTAATATCATCATACTCCGTATTAATTAATGTTTGATATTATAAAAAAAGGAAATATGATTTTAGAATAAATGTCCCTTATACTCGGTTGAAAAACATATTATTCCTATTTTAGATCATACCTAAAAATATTATTACAATCAATTACTCCGTATATCATATTATAATTTCTGCTATCTGGGATCCTTACTTTAATGACATAAATTTTTCACACATTTGAGAATGAATGTTAGGTTTCCTCTTATGTCAAATGATCGTACATAGTTTTATACTTTATTCTTTCTTATACGGAGTATGATTAACTTTGTTATTTTAATTTTGCTTACTTCGTCACATTAAATGGGGTAGCAATTTCAGAATTTTATCACATTTTTTAATTTTGAGTGCCCGAATTAATTTCAGAATTAGTTATATTCTTAAAAATTCAGCTACAATTATATGCCTATGCATTGCATGGTGACCATCCAGATAATTTTTTTTGTCCAATTAAAAACATTCTAAGTATGATTATGATTTTTTAAATAAACCCTGATGAATTTTTGTTGTAATGGCATACAATATTTCTTATGGAGCTTAATTAAAAGCTGAATTTATTTAAAATAATATTGAATGAAAAAGTTCATCTACTTGCTCTATAAGTTGTCCGTGGATCGCATGAGTGCACTACAAAAAACGATTGAATTAGGCACTAAAAGCAGGCACCTAAAGCCCTAGTGGCTGTACTCACCATATTTGTCACTTGAATTAGAGTGACTAAATTGGCACCACTTTTATCACATAAAGCAGTTGGTGAGAAAAAATGAAGGACCGATTCTTCAGTGGAAGATTTCTACGGTGCGCAAGTTGAGTGTATAGTTAGGGCATCACCATCCATAAGATTATTAAGTGATTATTCTAGTGACATGGCAGATTATTTGGGAGAGCATGGTTGAGTGAGAGAGATTATTGGACAGAATTAATTAATAGAATAATCCGAGATCAAAATATGAAACCGGATTATTTTGAGATTATCTATGAAATTAGAGTTAATTAGTTGCTACAGGACCCACAAAAGATCAGATTATTTCGGGATGATGGTTGAAGGTAATTCGGAGGGGATGAGATTATTTCCAAAACATTTATGTGGAAAATTTTAAAAGGTAAGAGTCACAAATAATCAGATTATTTTAAAATCATGAATGTGGATGCTCTTAGCGGAATTTATCCGTTATCACAAGTTTAGGGTCATTTAAATTTTATTTTGTGTATATATATTACATTAACCCTTACACTTTTACATAAGCGATTTCTCCTTAGCTTCCAACTTCATTTTTTTTCATACTCAAGCACTCTAGATGTTTACACTACAAAAGAAAGCGAGGATTATACAGTCCAAATATCAACTCCTCAAGTTGATTAAAGTTGATTAAGGAAGAAGATATGTGAACTCAAGTTAAGAAATCTTCCACTATTTCCGCCATCATTCGATTCAATTCGGTAAGTGTTTCCACACAGTTTGTACAATTTTAATAAAATGTTAGTTTTTGTAATTTCATTTTACATTTAATAATTTTCCTCTGCTGAATTAAATGTAATTATAAGTTACAATATAACATATGTAATTGAAATTACTCAAATACTAATGTTGGTTAAATATGAAAATTTAGGAGTAATAATAATAGCATGATTAGATAGTTGTCTCCTTATATAGGGAGAAACCACTTTTCTTTTGAAAGGTACAAAATAAATTTTTATGTCGTAGCAGTTACAATGCATGTTTATTGTATTGGTTTATTAAATATTTATTTACGTACTTTTTTAAAATTGATGTGATGAGAAATAAAAAGTATCCGGACTTAAAAATATATAACTTGTTGCTAAATTAATGTTATTTATTTATTGACAGTTTAAGTAATTAGTATGACGTAGTTGTTTGGTGAATCATAATATTAAAAAGGATGAGAATAGACATTTAACATTACATTTTCAATAATTTTTTTGAAAATGTCAATCTAAAAATATGTAGAATTTCAAAAATGATATGTCATACGCAGTATAAAATTGTTACCACATAAGACTAATTTAAATCATCTTTTCAAATAATTTCAATATTTTATTTTGGTTGGCAAATAATCTCAATATTAAATAATGTGGTTATATTAGCAAAATAATAGGGTCGGTTATGTACAGCAAACTAAAAAGACTTACTTTATATACATATAGAAAAGAGTAATCTTCCGGAGCCCCGTCCGTCCTCCACCTTTTGGGGCGGCTCCCGCTGTTTTTTTCCTGAGTTTATCCACACCAAATTTTAGCTAAAAATTCGATTGAGAAGACAGTCAAACGATATTTTGAAAATAACTGAGCTAGAATATACATATAAAACACAGTTATCTTCCAAAAATCATTTAACTGTCTTCTCAATTGAATTTTTAGTTGAATTTTAGTGTGGTTAATATAAACATAATGAAGAACATGCTAAAACAATTTCAGTAAAAATATCACAGGGAACCGCACCAAACGGCGGAGGCCGGAAGGGGCTCTTGTCTGGACCAGCTGCACAGGAATATTCCTGTGTATAAAATATACTTATATATAGCTTAATTTTCCCTAAGAATTAACTTAAAGTACTAAATAAAGAGGTGAATGTGGTGTTACATTTGATATATGAATATAGTAGACTAAATATTTATATTAAAATGGATAGTGTCATGTGTAATAAATACCATAATATTGGTTTCATTAAATTGTTACCATATCAATATCATATCATTTTGATCGATATATGTATCTTTGTATTATTGTTGTAAAAATGTAATTCGACTGCTAAAATGTTTAAATCATAAACAACATGCTTAAAATCGCCATTTAGTAGTAATAATAATAATAATAATAATAATAATAATAATAATAGTAATACTTTTTTTAAATAATAATAGTAATACTAATAATAGTAATAGTAATAATAATAACAATAAATAATAATAATAATAATAATAATAATAATAATAATAATAATAATAATAATAATAATAATAATAATAATAATAATAATAATAATAATAATAATAATAATAATAATAATAATAATAATAATAATAATAATAATAATAATAATAATAATAATAATAATAATAATAATAATAATAATAATAATAATAATAATAATAATAATAATAATAATAATAATAATAATAATAATAATAATAATAATAATAATAATAATAATAATAATAATAATAATAATAATAATAATAATAATAATAATAATAATAATAATAATAATAATAATAATAATAATAATAATAATAATAATAATAATAATAATAATAATAATAATAATAATAATAATAATAATAATAATAATAATAATAATAATAATAATAATAATAATAATAATAATAATAATAATAATAATAATAATAATAATAATAATAATAATAATAATAATAATAATAATAATAATAATAATAATAATAATAATAATATAACAACAACAACAATAATAATCATAAATTACAACCTCGTATCCGCTTGTGATTGTAAATATGCATTTTAGATTGTTGTGTTACAAATAGAATATGAAATTAAAGTTTAAAAAAATATTAGCGAGTTAATTTTCATTGATATTTAAACATAGAATATATGTATTGCAGCTACAATGTACAAACGTGCTAGGAGTTGGATGTATCACGACCACTTACAAAATAATGATTTGTCTGATGAATTTGAAAGTGGCGTTGAGGATTTCATTACATTTTCATGTGCGAATCCGACATATATGGATGGTACTAAAATAAGGTGTCCATGTAAAAATTGTAAAAACAAGGCATATAAAGATCCAGAGGATGTTCGATGGCACCTGTACAAATATGGATTTATTGAAAATTATTTTAACTGGACATCACAAGGTGAACCTATTCATCACGAGCGCTTCGTTGAACGAGAGAATTTATTGGCCTCTATGTCTCGCAACGATCCCACTCAACGGAATGATTATGAGAATATGAATTGGGATCAAAGGATGGTAAACGATGCTATTGGTCAGCATAATGTTCCAGAGCATTATGATAGCTCTCCAAACATGAGTGATGAAGGTCCCAGCGAGTCATTTTCAGCACCAACCACAAATGACTCTCAAGATCTTTTTTTTCGTGTGCTTGAATCTACGGACCGACCTCTTTATGGATGTGGTACAAAGTTCTCACAGCTGCAATTTGTGTCGAGATTAATGAGCATCAAGGCTGACCATAATTGGTCAGAGACTAGTGTGACCGAACTTTTGTTATTGCTTAGAGACGCTCATGAAGGCCCTAACACCATCCCAGAGAGTTTTTATGCGATGAGAAAGTTAGTATCGGATTTAGGCCTCCCTGTCCATCATATTGACACTTGCAGATCGGGTTGTATGTTGTTTTGGAAAGATGACAAGGACTTACACCATTGCAAGTTCTGTGGAGAAGAAAGATACAAGAATCAGAAAGGTATAGGCGATGGTGAAACACGTAAGTTGACAGCCGTAACCACTCTTCGATATTTGCCACTTGCACCAAGGTTACAAAGACTATATGCTTCTGTTGTTACTGCGAGTGAAATGACGTGGCATAAGAACCACGTGTCACAAGAAGACATGATGTGTCATCCATCAGATTCACCGGCATGGAAGCATTTTGATACCACATATCCTAGATTCGCTAAAGAGGCACGCAATGTTCGTTTAGGGTTATGTACTGATGGATTTGCACCACATGGACAATATGGTAAAAATTATTCATGTTGGCCAGTTATATTGACTCCTTACAATCTCCCACCAGGCATGTGTATGAAAAGTCCATATATGTTTTTAACGCTGATAATTCCTGGACCAAATAACCCTAAATCAAAAATTGATGTTTACATGCAACCATTAATTGATGAATTGAAGATGTTGTGGGAGACAGGAGTTGTTACTTTTGATGCCGCACGTAATGAATTATTTAGGTTGCATGCTTCTGTACTATGGACGATTAGTGACTTTCCTGCGTATGGTATGCTTTCTGGGTGGAGTACGGCTGGGATAATGAGTTGTCCTATATGCATGGAGACTACAAGTGCCTTTTATCTAAAGTATAGTAGAAAGCCATGTCACTTTGACTGTCATAGGAAGTTATTGCCTCTTAATCACTCTTACCGAAGGGATAAAATGTCTTTTTTAAAAGACAAGATAGAGAGAAGTGCACCACCACCTCGTCTGAATGGAAGAGAGCTTTGGGCGCGTGTCAGATCCATTCCATCGGCAATAGAAGAGCCCAATGAAAAACCAAGTGGGTATGGAGTAGAGCATAAATGGACTAAACAAAGCATTTTTTGGGAGCTTCCATATTGGAAAAACCTACTTATTAGGCACAACTTGGATTTGATGCATACTGAGAAGAACGTTTTTGATAATATTTTTAATACTGTGATGGGTGTAAAGGGTAAAACAAAAGATGGTTTGGTGTCAAGAAAAGATGTTGCACCACCAATTGGCACTTCACAATATGAGTGACTACTTTAGTGACAACTCAATTTTCTCACCCAATTTTCTGCCCAACGAGTGAAAACTATGGTGGCTAATCAAGACTATTTTTGTAGTGGTGGAATACTAGGTTATAAGTTGTCTTATATGTCACGGGAAGATAATTTTTAATGCAAACTATTGGGATTTCAAGTTGTCTTATACTTCAATATTACATTTACCTACTACTCTTTAATTTATTCGGAGTAATATAGTACTCGGGTTAAATATTTTGGCCGTGCATCGCACGGGTGAGATACTAGTTCAAAATAAAACAAGTTACTAAAGTTCTAAAAAATTATATATGCACCTTTTCAGGACCTATTTGGTAACACAAAAAGTAGCATAATCGACTAAATCTGGTAAAATTTACAAAGTTCGAGCTAAAATAGTTGAGTTCTGCCAAATTTTGAAAAAATATACTACAAAAATATTTTATTGATAGAATTAAAAAAAAAAACATGAAGAGGCTAAAACTGTCTTTTACATTTACTTAAGTGAATTCAATCAGAAAAGTGATTCAAAATCTTACTTATTTTGATTATTCTCAAAATTTAGATGATCATAAAAAAAATGGTTAATAAAGCTGAAAATAGGAGTTATCACACAACCTCTTAGGGTCTGTTTGCAACAGCTTCTGCTTTTGAAAAAATGCTTTTTTTAATGAAATGGGGAAAAGTGATTAAATAAAAGTTGATAGTGTTTGAGAAAAAAGTGATTTTGAAAAGTAAAAGTGGGTAGTGTTTGGTAAAATAAGTGCCTTTTGTGTAATAGAAAAAGTAAAAGCACTTTTGACGCGGAAGCCGAGAAAAATAAAAGTTGTAGTGTTTGGGAAAATAAATGCTTTTTTAAAGCCAAAGAGTGCAAACCAACCCTTAACATGTATACAAAAGCAAGAATCGGTGAATTAGTTCAATGATGAAATAATAATGTTAACAAATACAAATCCAAATATAATACGAGTATCAAGTACTACTTAAAATATTAACAATATGGTATTCTGGTAATAAACTAATGATAATTATAATACTAGTAATCATCAACATTTAGTGGAGCATTCTCTTAGAGCATATTCAATGCTAAAACGTTAACGGTGCATACGTGGCATGAGAAACAATCAATTAAAAAATAATAAATATAATATATTTCTCCTTATTTGAAGAATCTTACATCATTTTAGTAAGTTTAACTTCACAATGTCAAGCACAATGTTTAGATGTAAACAATGACGGAACCAGCTCGAGAGTCTTGGAGGGACTCATAATAGAAAGTGAAATGTCTCAACCCTGGCTAGCGAGTTGCTAGGATTGAGGAATTCCGGTCTCCAACAATGAGGGTGTCAAAAAAAGGAAGTGCTGAAGAGGTTGTGACACTCTGTAGTCTGTACTTTTGGTCGTTCCGGACTTTGAGATGACGGAGGTTGGTTTCAAGTGTAGGATTGTTGGATCTAGCAAGTTGCACGACGGTATATCCAATCATGCCGCAAATAACGCTATTTACAGAAGCAAACCCGATGAAGAACGGATCAGAATCCTTAGTCCTCCTAATTAATTAAACACCTTCATGTTTCACTCTTCTCCTAAAGAATCGACATATCTGCTACGTCTCATTTCAATTCAGAATCCATTTTTTCACAAATTTAATTAACCAATTGAAAAAAAATCTGCAATGGTGAAAAAACCAATATTTTATAAAAACCGGATGGATAAACCATGAGAATCGTAAGATGTAGTAGAATACATTTTATTGAAATACATTTTGGAGGGAAAAGTGCATCAAATAAGGTCTATTCGAAAGTGCGTCAGATAGGGGTTATTATGCATCAGATCGAGAGTTTGGACGGCTGAGATTAATTCTTTTTTTACACGTTAAAATGTCTTTTCATTTGAACTCATCCATATATATATATATATATATATATATATATATATATATATATATATATATAGTTGTGAGATCACATACAAACTAGCCAGTCCTTCCATGCTAACCTACAAACTTCACAAACTGTGCATCTTCACATAATTTGTACTGCATATTGAAGTTCAAAGTGTTGCATATTATTTGTATTGCATATTGAGGTTCAAAGTGTTGCATATTATTTCTATTGCATATTGAAGTTCACGGCATGCATCTTTACGTTATTTGTACTGCATATTGAAGTTCAAAGTATTGCATATTATTGAGTTTGTAGGCTAATATTTTAAGCATGGTTTGTATTCGATCTATTGTGTGTGTGTGTGTGTGTGTATATATATATATATATATATATATATATAGAGAGAGAGAGAGAGAGAGAGAGAGAGAGTAATCTTCCGGTCAAGAATTTCCTGACCGGAGCGCTGTTCGGCCTCCTCCATTTGGGGGCCTTTCCGGTGGTATTTTTTGCTCAAATTTTTTGAGTATGTTCCTCATCAAGTCTAGTTCATTCATACCAAATTTCAGCAAAACAATCAATCGGGAAGGTCGTCATGATTTTTTCAAGTTAACTGGTCCGGAAAATACATATTCCGGACCAGTTAACTTGCAAAACTTATTTGACGACCTTATCGATTGAATTGTTTGATGAAATTTGGTATGGATGAACTAGACTTGATGAGGAACATACACAAAAAATTTGAGCAAAAAATACCACAGGGAAGACCCCCAAATGGAGGAGGCCGGACGAGGCTCCTGTCCGGAAATTCTAGACAGGAATAATCCTATATATATATATATAATAAAAAATAAAAAAGCTGTTGGGGATCAAGCACCTCCAAGCCCCTATGTAGTTCCGCCACCGGATGTAGACATTGTGGTTGATGACAAAAACTTACCAAAAATACATAAGACCGTGGAAAGAATGAGAGAGAAATGTCATAAAATCAATATTTTGTGTCTATCTCACTACAATATTTCGGGGTTTTCGCTACGCTAAAAAACCGTTGCATAATAATAAAAAACCGTTGTCTTTGTTTTCGGCAACAATTTGAAAACTGTGGCAATGTAAGGCATTGCCTATACTTTTGGAAACGGTTTTTTACATTTAAAGGCAACACAATAAGAAAACCGTACTCGTAGGGTATGTCATAGAGAACGATTTTTATAAGTAGATAAGACAACGGTTTTAAGCCGTTTCTATCAATAGTAACAAAAAAAACTGTTGCCATATATGCAAGATACATTTTTTAACTATTACGACTAAGCAAATGACAACATTAAAAATGCAGCAATTTTGTTCTTTAAAAATGCATATATTTCACTCTTCTATGCACCAACAAAATAGTTCATAATAATCACTCACAAATCACAATCCAACCAAGTTCTGCTATATATAATAATCACCTTATCACCATACAAGCAGTGGCGGAACCAGGACCCGTGACTCGCAGGGGCATAATAACAAAGAAATCACTGGTCAGTCTCCATCGGCCGTCACAGAGATGCTCACAGTTGCCGTCGGCCGTCGTTGAGGTGCTCATAGTCCGTCAGCCTTAGCTGAGTTACTAGAGTTGATGGCTTGCTGCAGACTGATGTGAGTTTGAAACGCCGATTCCGCCGAACTGCCGAAGCGATATGGGGGCTAAGGGGAAAGAGAAGCTGGGCTTGAGTTGAGCTGTTGAGCCTTAATGGATTGGGCTGCTGAGGAAGAGGGAAGTGGGACTGAACCGGACAAACAAGGGAAAGGGGGATTTGGGCTGCAGGGGCTCAAATTAATAAAAATTAAAATATGTATATATATTTAAAAGAAAAATAATTCACTGCAGGGGCACGGGCACCTCCGGGCTCTATGGTGGTTCCGCCCCTGCATACAAGGTTTGTAAAGTCTAAAACAAAACAATAGAAGTGTCTTAATCCCCACACAACAAATCACTTAAAACTTCATCAAATCACTTAAAAGCACAACAAAAAGAAAACAAACTTCATCAAATCACTCATAACCATCCATGCTCATGTCTTCATCTTCACTTTCTTCATCACCATCATCATTTATCTACAAAAGAACATTACTGTTTAATTAAATAAATCATATACAGATGGTCACATAATAATATTATGGTGAAGGAAAAAGGGTCATAGTTGCACACAAATAAATATTAACCTTCATCTTTTGTCAATAGGGGGCAAATTCATAGCACAACCACCAATAGACAAGAGGTCAACATACATACAGAAATTCAGCCCCAAAAGAAGAGATGCAATTGGTTTGAGCTAACTCCCATCATTATTACTAGCCATTCTTATATCTGCTTTCCTTCTTTGCTGAATTGCTTGTATTGTGTTTTGTGGTGGCAGGTAGAAGGCCGGCTGTTTTTTTTTTATAAGTTTCCAGTAAGCCATGGCAAGGGTGGGACAGGGCATGCATGTTTAAGGTTGTCGTTCACATCAATTCTTTTCTTGCAAGGCTGATTATTGTAAAGGGATTTGCAGGGTTGTAAAGATAAGGGTTGTAAAGATAAGAATATTGCTTCATGGTCCAGGAAAACTAAAGAAGCTAAGGCATGCTAGCTACTATTATAATTCAGGAATACTCCCGGTCAATTTATTACTTTCATATTATAAGCAAAAGGTTGATTAGTAGGAATCAACGAACTCCAACTTGTAAAAAACTTACCTGGAAGACAACTTCAGATTGAGTATGGGAGGCGTGCACTCGTGAAGGTGATATCGGCCGATCTGTGAGAAAATAGGGAGATGCAGATTAAGCAGCGTTCAGATAGTCTGATAAACCATTTGGTTGAGGAGCGATCTGATTGAGCGATCTGATTGAGCGATCTGATTGAGCGATCCATCGTAAACCTAGAAGAAGTCTGGTGAGATTTGTGAGAAGAGAATCATTTTCCTTTTTTAATATTTTGAACTTGCTACTCGTTTGTTCTGGTATAGACAGGGCAGGTTAACAAAAAATAAGAGCCAGCTAAACAATTATTCGCGCGCCGAAACAGTTAAAG